TGTGTACTATATAATATAAAAATGTTTTCATATAATATGCAAGACTATACAAGTACATATATACCAATAATCATTCGTAATTGGCCAATTCTTGAAACGGAACAGCCAATAACAAGTGTACAATCCAGGTATAAACCAGGTACAAACCCCATACATTTGGGATATGAAGTCAGGTGCCCCAAACTTTTTGGAGTGTCAGCATTCCTCTTCTGGCATTGACAGTGGCAATATGAACGTCAAACGTCGCCGTGTGAGTAAAACGTCGTGCGAGGAGACAACCGAAGTGGACTTTATCGCCAAACTTCCACTGGAAGTATCTCAAATAATTTTACGTAAATTGGATCCAGAATCTTTGTTGTGCGCCGCAAGAATATCGCATAAATGGCTGGAAGTTTGTAGTTCCGACAAATATCTCAGGAGAAGTGCGAGAAACTACTTACTCGCTGTGGACATCTGTGCAGATTGCTTTAGAGGTGTCACGTACGACTTATATTTCGACTACTAACGCAGATCAATGTAAGTAAGAAGTAAATATGATTTTACATTTAACTAATCGTTTTGACATCTTGGCGATAAGAGACATTTTACGAAATATATAATAGAATGTTCAATAGATAACAAATAGATAAATATGTGGATGTATGTGCAACTGTTGTTTGAATGAATTTTTTTCTCTTTTCTTTTTAGCCGGTAACGGTTCCAACTTCTTGGCGTCAAGAAACATTTTACGAAGTATATAATACGATGTAATGGGCGAAGTAAATAAATGTCTATTTACACATCATATCTTCAGTTTTGACTGTAGAATAATTATGCAAATATAATATAATACGTATATAATATAATGAAATATGTTAATAATAAAATGTGTATAAAATAAAATGTGTTCAGTGATTGTCACTCCAATTGTTATACGGAATGATATTAGATCCTGAAGGATCAGTTCTCATCTTCGTCAGTGTAAATTTGACGGATCTATAGTCGCCGCTGTCGTGTCCTACTAGTTTGACATCGTTAACATCAAGTTCTACGGATTGGAGACTGACGTTACCGTGTACACGTGTCTGTGCAGAATAGACACTCTCACGCGGCGTGAAGCTCATAAATTCGAAATCGATCGCACCGGCTACATCTCCAGATTTGCGCCATCACGTTGCTGCAGGTCAATGTCATCGACGAGACATGATGACAACTTTGGAATCGAGAAACCGAGTGTAAGAGAATCCCGCATAATTCAAATATCGGAAATCCTCGGATAATTTCAATCTGGTTGTTAGTGTAAATTAGATTAATTGTTTGAGAACAGTCGTGAATTCAATTCAATATAAAATCGATCGACCTTAGATTTTAATAAACTCCTATGATCATCTAACGAGACAGTTTGACATCGTCGAAGGTTTTCTACGGAACGGAAAATACGGGGAAAATTGAGAGGAGGGCAAGACAGGACGCGCAAGATAATCGCATAATTTATATTTGTATATACAGTCACTTTACAACGCTTACTTTTTGTTATACAGTGTGTAGCTCACAAATACTTTAGGTCAGCGAACGGCGAATGGTCGCAGTAAAGACGGTATCAAAGTAAAAAAACTAATTCCAGACGATCGCCCTGCCGCGATTAGGTGTCCTCCGTGTGAAATAAACGACACTGAACGCGATGTTGCACGCACAAACCGCAAGCCGCGAAAAGATCATTTTCATCTTACCGAGTTACGCAAGGGCAGTCGGTTTTCCTTCGTATTACGAAGTTTCGCGACTCGCGGTTTGTAATTTTCTTAGGGACGAGGAAAATTAGCTTTAGAGGGAAAAACATCGATCCTGTGTGATCTCTATCTAGGTTGGCAGTAATTCTCAGGCATGGATTGAAATTTTTCCTCGCTCCGTTGCTTTTTTCTTTGTTTTTTTTTTTT